ATTTCAGCCCCTTTGTATACGACTTCTCATTATACACAACACAACATATAGAGTTCTAGTAACATATATATTTTATAGTATCCCGGAGAAAAGATGAAGTCTATACTAAAACCCTACACCCTAAACCCTAAACCGAAGTTTATACTATAGGATCCAGAAGAAGGAGTTGAGGGGTGGATGCAGGTTTTGGAAACTCGGGCTCAGGATCGTTTGCCTCAGGGAAAAAATCAGGCCCAGGTAGAAGGGACCTGGAGCCTTCCTCAAGGCTCTAACATAGGGGCCTTAATGGTTAGAAAAAGGTTTGGGAGTTTAGGGTTTAGGGGTTTGGGGGTATCTTACCACTCATTTCAATCACAAAGAAACCAAACTTGGAGGGATGAGCTGCTGGCAACGAGCCTTCTACGCTCCCTTGGCCACTGCGAGGGCTGCACCTGCGAAGGCGACTGCTGCTTGAGTAAGGTTTAGAGTTTAGGGCTTTATATAGGGGCCTTAACAATCAGAATAGGGTTTTGAGTATATCATACTATAGTTAAAAAATAAGGAACTCCCAACATGGTATCAATCATTATGTAGGCCCCTACATTCATGTGGGTGGTTGTCAAAATTATGGTCCCTTTTGGGGTCCTTATTATAATACGGCACCTATTATTTAGGGTGCCGCAAAAGGGACCATAATTTTGACAACTGCCCATGTGGAGTTGAGGAAGGTCACTGCTCGAGGGGCTGGGCTTCTTTTCGGGGGGTTTTGGGTTTTGATATCTGCTCATGGGGCCCATAATGGTTCCGTTTTGTGGCTTCTATGAAGGATCCTATTAATTAGGTAATCCCCAAAAGGAGGGGTTTTGGGGTGTTGATATCTGCTCTGGCCCCATGGGCCCCAAAGTAGTTCCTTTTTGCGGGGTCTATTTTGGATCCTATACTTGGAGGATCATGCGACTTAGTAAGTAAGGTTATAAGTCCCTTAGTTGGGGTTATAAGTATAGTTACCCTAATTATAACCCTACTTACTAAATGACTAAATCGCCCGATCCTTTAAGTAAGGTAATCCGAAGGAACTAGTAAGGGGCCTATGGCTGAGGAGGTCAGAATCTTCAGACATAGTATCGCCTGTTACAGGTAGTTCTTGTACAGTCATACCACCCTACACCCGAAACCCTAAACCTAAAACCCAAAGCCCTCAACCCAAACTCTAAACTCTAAGCCCGAAACCCTAAACCGTTCATACCGCAACGCACCCCGACAAAAAACCCTGGTCTGGAAGGCAAGGCCCCTATGTCTTAGGTTCCTGAATGTCGAGATCCCTGGTTTTTAAACGGATCTTAGCGTGCCTTTCTTTGTTTAGGGTGTAGGGTTTAGGCTTTAGGGTTTACAGTAGGGTTTAAAGTGAGGAGGAGTGGGGTGGAAGTTGGGGCGGTGTTTTGTATTTTCAGGTTGTTGGGGCTTTAAAAGCTTCTAGAGCTACGGACTCCGGGCAACTTTCAGGGTTTTTAGGGGTTAGTGAGGGTTTAAGGGAATTGTAAGTACCTTAAATGTATATGACCACAACCGAGATAAAAGTACCCGTACCTTGCGAATTCGCATGTTGCCTGACGGAGACTAATCGTGCGGGATTCCTGAAACAAAGGAACAGAGATAGAAGAGCGTGCAATGGCCCCAATACCACGTAAGTTAATCACGTGGAGAATGCAAACAGCTACCCTAAACCCTAGCCCTTTTGTGGCCCAAATAGCATCCATCCTCTATAGCAGCCCTCGTAAAACTCGTTAATGGACCGCTTATCGTACCCGTTAAAGCAGGTCCTTTGCTCGGACTCGTCTGTGCATCTCCATCATCTGCCATCAGCAGCTCTTCTTAGGCTTGTAGGGTGTAGAGTTTTTGTGTTCGGGGTTTAGGGTTTTGGGTTTTCGAGCTTGGTGTAAGGCGAAATCCTGGAGACAACCGCTCTGCCTCCATCGACCGACACGATTTCGAAGCCCAGATACCGTAAATCCCGTGCATTGCAGGAGAGATGAACTGCCGATCGGTAGACAACGTCATGCAGGAGGTGGATGCAGATGGCGCCGAGGTTGCATACGCAACGCCTGCTAAAGAGTCCCTGTGACTGCTGGGTGCACAAGCAACACGCAAGCCCTGAGTTGAATTTGTCCGTAGTCGCAAAAGTAAATTGCAGGTTCTTTTCTATTACGTACGGGTTTTTGGAGCCCGAAACCGGAATTTTGCCAGGTACTTCTCTATCTGTAAGATATCAAGTCTACAGAGTCTGGCTCTCTCTCGCTCCGGAGGGAGCAAGCTGAAGTGATGACAGTTGATACCTCTTTTGCAAACTCCACCCACTTGTCCTCCCTTCATCTGAAAAGAAGTCGTGGAGTTCTGGGCTTAGGATCCCAACAGACCTTTGTAGTATGGTCCTTTCGTCCACAAGCCTTCAAGTGCGAGCCTGCAGGATAAGCTGTAATGTGTTCCACTCCGATGGCGTAACACATGACGGTCGCAAGTATGACCACATTTGACATCGCATTTATCAACAGTGCATGCGTGTTTGTAATGATCTGCTTCTCTATCCTGCCCTCATCGGGTGACCTGCCCCCCAGACTGCACGAAGTTCACTTTGCAGTAGCGATGCCACGCACTCAGAGTACTTGGAGGATCATGGGACTTAGTAAGTAAGGTTATAAGTCCCCTAAGTGGGGTTATAAGTATAGTTACCCTAATTATAACCTTACTTACTAGGTCCCATGATCCTTTAAGTAATCGCCAGCCAAAGGTGATGGATCGATCTCCTTCCTGGAGTTCATGCTCTCTGCCTCGCGAGTCCTCTTCGGTGTCTTTGAGAAAATGAACTTCGGAACTCCTGACTGCTGCATGCTAGGAAGGCTTGCTAGCCTCAGAGTTTGAGGTTCTGCCTGGGAGTCTAAGACGTCTCGGAAGACATCGTCTTTGCAGTGGAGCGGTGTGCGGGAAAACTTCCGAGCCCACACCCTCTGCCCTCTCCCACCGTAGTCACTGCCCTGGCTCGTCTCAAGAATCTCAAAGCTCGTCCATGAGATCAGGAAGCCAATCTTCGTAGCTTAGGGGGACTTGCCTGCCCAGGTGGCCGCAGCGTTGCAGAAGCCTCTAGGTGCAGTATGATTTTGGGTTTAGGGTTTAGGGTTTAGGGTGTTGGTTCATAGCTTTGGGGTTCAATATAGGAGCAACCTGAAATCACAATACTTATTGTTCCTAGGCAAGTCTAAATCTGCCTCATACGATAGGCTGGCAAGCTCTTGTGTTCCCCAAGCCTTTAAACCCTAAATTATAGTAGGATCCCTAATAAGGTTTAAGGTATATTCCTTAATTAAGGGATATTGGATAAAGCTTAAACCATTTGTCCCCTTTCTGAAGTTTTCTTACTTGTGCTTTCACTGAGACCTCGTAGTCTGAGCCTAAGCCATGTGGGGGTTTCCGAAAATAGGGGACCCCAATATAGTACCCTAAATAGTAGGATCCTTATTTTAAGGACCTCAAAATAAGGTACCCCTTGTTTTCGGAAACTCCCATGTTGAAGCACCGGAAACCCGAAACCAGAGGGCCCAACCACCCTCCACCCCAAACAATCAGCGGGGGTGTTTGTCCCAACCAGTCTCTGCACTCTGAAAAGGCTTTGGTACTTAAACCTGAAAACTCTGCTATCTGGGTGCTTGATCACTGTAGGGTACACCGAATCCTTCTGCTAGACTAGAATAGACGATATAGACTACGATAGACGATGATAGACTATCGTATACTACAATATACTATTGTCTATTATAGTATACTATAACATACTATAGTATATCAAAATACGCTTCAACATGCTGTAATATACTCGAACATTTTGTATGTATACTATCTTATGCTAAAATATTTTGTAACTATACTATAATGTACTATAATATAATCTTTGAATATATAACATGGTATAATATATTATAACTTACTTTTTAATGTAGTATAACTTACTGCAGTTCTTTGTAATTTACCATACAATATCACAATATACTATAATACATTCTCTAAATTATAGATTAAAATATAATAGAATATACTTCTATATCCCAGGCTGGCCCGGAGGCCATTGAACTGCTGCAGGAACGAAGCCCGGAAAAGCCGAAGGCGGACCTAGAAAGGCACGTAGGGCCCTTTTGGGGTTCAGGGTTTACTTGCTGTAGGGTTTAGGGCTTTAACTCAGGGTTTTCGGATTTAGAAACATGGTAGAGATGATGGTGCGTTTAGCTGTGATGTGGATTGTATGGATGATTTACTGATCGACAGTTTTATTGACTGGTTGTTTGTTTGATTGCTGAATCCCGGTTGATTTGTTTACCTATTCATTACCTGGCATTTGTCTGGTTGGCTGACTGGCAGCATATCTGCCTGATTGATTTGCACGCCGAGCGCTTTGTTAATTTTTTCGAGTATCTAGTTAGTGAGCGAGTGTTTTGCCACAAGTTCTAATGATTGATAAATTCATCGCCAACTGTTGCCACCATGTTGTCAACATCACATCCAAGTTGGTCGTGTTCCACACAATCCTGCTGCTTCGTGTCATCGACTTCATCTTGCTCACCTCGTCATCACATTGGTATCATCATGGCCATCTTCATCATCATCATCAGCAGCAGCATCATCGTCATCAACGCCATCATCACCATCTCCATCACCATCACCACCGCCAGCATCATCATCAACAACAAAAACATCATCATCATCATCATCATCATCATCATCATCATTATCATCATCATCGTCATCGTAATCACTATCATCAGCAGCAGCAGCAGCATGACATTCAATTATCACCTGTTCCCTTTCCTGCTTGGGCTTTGATTGGAACAACTTGGGGCCGCTTGAATTCCAGGAGATGCAATGAAGGCATAAGTTGAGGATGCACGAACTCAGGGTGAGGATTGTGAGGTGTTGTTTTGGCTTAATTTGCTGTTTGCTGATATTGTCGGGGCTACTGCCTGCCGTAGCTGCGCAGCATGGCAGTTCGCCCCAGATTTCGGATATTTTCTGCGCTCGTCCAAACCTTTGTTTGGGCTGCTGTTGCCAGAAGCCACTCCACTACGGAAGATGCATGTGCCGTGAGCACACCGAGTGCAAATCTGGATGCTGGAGACCAGCATGACGAGTCCATGCTGATACAGCACCAAGGCTCATTGGGAGCGTCAGCTGATCCCGATGCTTTGGGTCTGGTACAGGAATCACCGTTTGCAAATCGCACGATTCATACTCGGGGCTTCTCGTTCAGCTGCACTTGGACACCATCTTCTTGTTCTCGAAGGGAGCGTGGCAAGCAGGTACTTCTCCTTCACGGCTTCCCGGGGTGGAAGGAGATGGGGGGGGGTTCTAGTCGTGTTCCCACAGGAGGGCTACGCCGACGCGGCAATAATCAACGCGTGATCTCCTGTCTACTACGTATGAGATTTGTTTCAGGGTTCAGGTTTAGGGCACGTTCCTGTCCAGCCAGCTATGGGGTTGCTGCGTTCTGGCCCCATATGATGCAAGAAAGTACGGCGGAAGTCTTCAGCTAAGCTTCCTAGATTCGCCGGCAGAGCCTGCCGATACTCTTCACTGTCCTTCGTTGTTGCTGGTTGCCTTGTTTCTTCTTTACGGGGTGCTAAACATTGTTAGAACTGGACAGCCGAAACAGAACGACATTCGCAAAGTAACAGGAAGCCCCAAACAGTTACAACAACTCTCCTAGTATGCTAGTAAATCTCATACAACCCCCCAAGCTCGAGGAGACCTGGTTGGACTTGATGAAGGAGTTGGCAAACGTTGGCTACTGTGCTGCTGCTTGCGACCAGCGTGGATATTCGCCGGGTGCGTCTCCTCCTTCTCAGCACGACTACACTGTGAGGAAGCTCATAGGTGATGTTGCCGGTTTTGCAAACGCTTTCGGCTTCAGACGATTCTTAGTCGTGCAGTATGTGGCCCTTAGTTTTTTTTGCTTTGCTGATGCATTTTTGATGTTTTTGATGTGCCATAACTCCCGGATACGACACCATAAGCCTCATAAGCTGCAAAACCAAGTAAGGATTCCATCTCGTTGCCCACGACATTGGCGCCGTCATCAGCTGGCTTTTCTTAGGCTCGAAACGCTGGCGCCGGCGCGTGGTAAGCTTTACCAGCCTCTCGGAGCAGGTTAAGGCTAAGGGCTATGGTTAAGGGTTTGGGGTTTTGGGTTTGAGTTTGGCGTTCAGGGTTTTGGGGTTTAGGATTTATAGTTTGGGTTTGGGGTGGGTTAGTGTCAACGTATCCCTTCGCAATCTAACACTAGAGCCCTAGCGACGTTCGGTTTCAGGTTTGCCGCAACGGTTTAGAGTGCTTGGGGTTTAAACCCGGGTTTAGGGTTTAGGCTATAGGGTAAAGTGACGGCTTCAAAATCCCTGAACGGTTTAGGCTCACAAGGATGTGTGCTCAGTGTGCACGAACCTGGTTTAGGGTGGATTCCACGGGCTTAGGGTTTCGGTGCAACCATTACCCAGACCACCGGAAGAATCTAAAAAGTAGG